TTAACAAATCATCAAACTGGAAAAAGTTCATGGATTTTCAAAAATAGTTTACAAATTTATATGAAGTTCATCAATTGTGAAAAAAACTGAATTAAAAAAAGTTCATTGGTTTCAAAAGTTCATCGATTTTGATAAAGAAAGGTCACGCATATCAAAAAGAAGAAGAAACAGAGGAACCAAAAAGAAAAAAAGAAAGAAGAAAGAAGAAAGAAGAGAAGAGTAAAAAGAAGTAACCAAACACATTCAGGTGCGTTTGCTGGATTGCTACCGTATTTAGCACATGAGGAGGAGGTCATGGGTTCAAGACGGGGGGTGTGCGCCCGTTTGCAAGCTATACTATAACAGGCGCCTTAAGCGCCGTACAGGAAATGCCGAAAAATTTCCCCTGTCTTCACCTCTCTCACGAAGCGAAATGTATCAAGTTGAGCCACAAGCCTGCAACTAGGCTGGACCCATACACAATTTAGCCCGCCAAAAGGCCAGAACATTTGTACTTAACCAGCAGAGTATTAAGCTTTGCTCAAAATAATAAGAAAGAGTAGAGTATTAACATTATTTTGGTCCCACGAAACAAAATTAGGGAGTGGCTACAAATAGCGAAACTGGAGGTTTCATGCTTTTGCACGGAGCAAAAGACCGTTCCAGTCATCCATAAGCGCCATTAGAAGCACCACAGGAAATGAAAAGACAGTCCTAAGACAAGATTTTGCAGCCGTCGGCCACGCGCAAGTACGCGACGTTGCATAGCATGGGCGAGTGAGCACCAGATCGGCATACTGCTTTCGTACGCCTAGTAAATTGATGATGGCGGCGGCGGCGGCGGCGGCACGGGCTTCACCATCGTCTTCCAGCCGTTGGGGTCCGGCGAGGGTGGCTTCACGGGCACTCTCTGGCCCAAGCGCCGGCCGGCTACCGCACCCAGCTTCCTCCTCTCACGTGGCGTCGACTGCGCCGACCGGCTACCCTGCGCACCCGCGTCGGCGTCGCCACCCAGTAGCAGGCTAGCAGCACTGCGAATCCATTCACACACACACTGTCACATAATCTGGGATTTGGAGCTCGCAGAGGAAATTATATGCATTATGCATACCTGGAGGAGAACGCAGCGGCGGCGGCGAGTACGTGGCCAGCAGCACCAGGAGGCCGGCGGCAACGAGGACCGCGTGGACGGCCGTCCGGCGACGCATCGGTCGAGCTATAGGTAGATCCGAGACCACCGTACTCTGTAGATCTGATATCAGTACAGCTCCGGTCAGTAGCCACTGAGACAGTGAGACTCTGCAGACGTGAGCTAGCTGTTCACTGTAGGATTTGCGGCGTTCTTAAATTGTCGACCCGGGACTCTGAATTTTGTCTCTTCTCTTCCGTGTGTTGACCTCGAGGTCCGCACGGCCGTTTGTCCTGTCCTCGATCCCGCGAGTGCGGTATTTTTTAGGCTGGTTATAGCGGGAGTAACTTAGCAAGTAACATAACACACTCAAGAAAAATTTACTTACATGACATGTATTTAATGAGGAAAGAGATGATTGGAGTAACATAATATGTTACTGTAACATAACATATCCCAAGACAAAATGAGTCTACATCTTAATAAATGATGGCTTGCATGACACCACATATATGTTACTCTCCACTATGAAGGTTATAACATAGACTAGTAACATAAGCATATTACTAGTCTAAGTTACTCTCCACTATGACCAGCCTTAGCAGTAGTTGAACACGAGTTCAACTCTACCCTATGTCCAAGAGGATTCTTAATTAGGGCATCCCCGCGTCCCTCAAACCTCTCGCAACCGTCTGCATCGCGCTCTCCGCACCGTAAAGGCCATCCAACAGGACCAACCTATCTTGTATCGATCCGTGGAGCAGTCCGGACGTGATTTTTCCCGCAATCCGAAGAAAAATGTGAGGGCCTTTGCGGGACTTCAGACACACGAAACGTCACTCTCCGCCCCTGGCCTACCTAAAAGAAAGGCGGAGCATGAAAACGTCAGAGAACCTGTAGGAGATGGAGCTAGCAAATAGGTTCAAACAGTTGATAGAAGCGACGAAGAAGAAGATCAAGCTCGAAGAGAGCAGGACCATGATTGAAGAGAGGAAGGGGGCACTCGAGGAGAAGAAGGTCGTGCTCGAGGAATAGAAGGCCGCGCTCAAGGAAAAGAAGGCCGTGCTCGATGGAAAGAGGGTGAAGATCGCCGCTAATGCGGACGATGCCAAGATATTGACCTTGAATATCGACTCTTTGGTTGCTGGCGCTAGAATTATCTTGCAATCCGTCCGCTACCAGATGTTGGAGGGGTAGAAAGATGAGTTGGCGACGGCAAAAGATGAGGACGCGGCGAAGGCAGAGGCTGGCGCGGACGCGGGGGCTGCCTACACGGCGGCGACGACACCTCCTCGATCGAGGAGCAGCTTGCTGAGATTGCCGGTCCGGCAGGGCAGAAATGCACGGACTGTTGGACACTGGACTGATGTTATTTTAGATTAGAACATGTAAAAACTAAGCATATTTTCCTCTTTTTGGTTGTGATCGGGGTTGCGATCCGGCGCGGATGTGATCCGGCATGTTGTGTGGATCAGTACATTTAAATTTGAATTTGCTGACGGACATATACAGGCTACGGTTGGATGATGGGCTTTCACATTCATGTCCATAAATTGATCCCTGTCAGCGAACGAATGCGGGAGAAAATTTATAAGTTGCCATCGAAAATGCCCTTAAGGATGGAAGATTACAGTGTTACCTTTTTGCCAACTGACATGTGAATGTCATTTTTTAGTCACCTTCACGTCTCACATGGAGGCGCATATGCAAGCTCATGAAACTCATTTTTGTCGGCTACCATATTTGTCCTATATAGACTGGAGATAAGTGAGCATCATATATACGAGTAGTTGTGCAATCGAAAATCCACAGGCGTGGACGAGCTCGCCTGGTCACGGTATCCTGAAGCGTCGGCTCGTTTTGAGATACGAGACATAGGCCGTATTCTAGAGCATGTATGTGGCTACATTTAATGCGTATAGCGGACGGAAGAAAACGATGTTGTATGGTGCGCGTCAAATGGACGGTAGATTGAAGACGGCTGGGTCGGCCTACCAGCTCCATTTAACTCAGCCCATCGCCCTCACGGCGACTCAATCTTCTCCAATCGATCCCCAAATCCAAGAAACCCTAAGCGCACACTCCATCTCAATCAACCCCAAATCGTAGCTAGGAACCCTTATGATGGCAAAAACGAACCAAGGTGTTGATCCGGTCATCCTGCCAATCGTGGCTTGTCCGGATTGCGGAAGGAACGTAGTCACCTATGTAGCCCGTCGTGGGCAGAACACCGGCGAGCGTTTCTAATATGATGTAACACATAGCATCGATCTGTTGGCAGCAGGTAAAGATTGAAAGTGACTTTTCTTTAACTTTTCCCACAGCTGAAGCAAATAAACTTGAACATGCCAATATGTACTGACCACAACTGATTTTAGTGTGACTGAAAATTCTGCATGAACAATTGTGTCACATATGTCTGAAACCTCTGATATGTCTGAAACTTCTGAATATAGCTAGCATACAAAAATCTGATTGTCAATCCGGGCTTATGGGGATCTTCTAACCGACTTCACCCGCAAAAAAAAGATCTTCTAACTGACTTGCTAGACCGGACGTATATTATGTATGAAGACCAATGGATTTGAATACTGTTCGCCAAACCTGTTGTTTTTTTCCTGAACATAGATCAAAAACCTTGATCCTTGTAAGGTGTTGATTCTACAAAATCTGTATGTCTGGCCACACGTGAATCAAAGTTGTTTCTTGTGCTGTGGTTGGGGTGAGGTGGGGAACGTCTAGAATGAGTTTTCTGAATTTTGCAGTAAGGGGGTAGACTGGTGAGATCAAATTTTGAAGATTTTCTCCGAATTTTGTTTTCTCAGAAGCACACATGCATGTCTGAAGAACTAAGCACAACTATATTAGTCGCCGGTGCTTTATGCAAACAAAAGCAAAAAACTTTTTTCCCTGGGACATACAGGCATGCATGTTTGATGAGCTAACTAGAATGTTTTTAGCTTCCAGTTCACGCCACCTCTCACTGATATGGTTAAGGGTAAATCCCGTCAAATACCACTCGCACAAAGCTGAAAATAGCAACGGTCGATTTTTTTCTGTTTGTTGTTACATATATAAATGTGCACAGATTCTTTTATCTTCCTTTTTCATGAACTATATTTGTAATGTTTTTGTATCTTTTATGGAATTTTCCCCCTGAATTCTTCCACTTTTTCGAATGTCAAACTCTGAATTTCCAGCGTTTTTTTTATGTAATCTCACATGAAGGAATTTTTGTTTTGTTTTGTAGCCCCGCTGCTTTATTTTTGTGATCACCGCCATATTTTCGGATGAGTTCTACTAGTTACAAACGATGGATTTCAATTGAGGCATTTAGCAGGGAAGACATGGCTAATATTTATCTTGGTCAGTGTCATTGTTTTCATCAACGGAACATATGGCTGGTGTACCATCAATGCGCGTCAGATCAGACGGCTCCGTCACCATATACTACTGCTGGACGTTGCGCATCTGTTCTACTCCCTACGGTCGCATTCATTACACGTACAGACGCGTCACTGTCCCATTGGCACGCATAGTGGGAGCGGGCGAGCTCGTCCGCTCTATCGCCATTCTCGTTGTGCAATACAGTATATAATTGCGTCGAACTTTGTTTGACATCGCTGGCCAAAAGTGCTTTCGTACACGGCAGCTAGCCGTTCCTTATGCTATGGTGCATATCCACGCAACACACCCAAAAAAAAAGATTTATTTCCGCCGTTTACCTCAGAAGTCCAAATTGATATAGAGAAGTGAACAATACATTTTAAGACTTTGAAGCATGACAACTTATTTCACATCAGCAAGATTATTCTTGTAACACATTAGTAAGAGACCAGAGGTGCACGGAAGTCACCATGGCATATGCTCGTACCCAGACTCCCAACACCTATTAATTGATCGACGGCGGTGGCGGTGGCGGCGGCGTCAGGGGAATCACCACCCCCGAGTTCTCGTTAGGGATTGGCGAGGGAGGGTCCTTCAGTGGTATCCTCTGTCCCAAGTGCCTCGCAACTCCCATCCCTGACACCTTTCCCCCTTGACAATGAAGCCCATTCATTTGACCACACGCACCAGCGTCGTCACCTAGCATCATCATCATAATTACATCGACGGGCTCATCTATACATACAAAGAACGAAGCACGGATTTGGAAACATCCAAAGGGAACAATATGTACCTGAAGCATGATGTGGTGGGCCATGTGCGGCGGCCACACATGGATAGGAAGCTAGCAGGGGCGGGAGTAGGAGGACGATGATGAGAAAACAGATGGTTCTCCGTCGATACATCTTGTCGTCTTGGGGTGGGGGGCGGGGGCAGTTGGCTCGATGGGAGACTGAGAAGGTGAAGAAGAAGGAGCGGGCAAATTGCGTACGCAATTGAAGGAGTATTTAATGCATCGGTGGTGTGTAAAGCTGAAAATCAAGGGGCAATATCAAAAAAAATCAGAAAAAAGGCTTTGGCGCAAACTAAAAAGGAAAAAAAAGAAACTACACACAAACAAAATGAAAAACGGTGCTCGAGTCAGTAGCCTAACGAGACAATGAGTGAGAGCTTGCTTTGTGCGTGGGGTGAGCTGTTCGTTGTCTGATTGTGACGCTCTTATATCCCCAGCCAGCAACTTAACGTGGATTGGATTTCGGCGCTGCTCGTTTTGCGTATGTTGACGATGCATGGCTAGCTGTACGTTGCTTCCTAGTTCCACCCTCGTGACACATTTTGCTCTCTTTGCCAATTATCACGTGATTGCACATTCCCTTCACCTTCACGTCTGCCACAAGGCCAAATGAATCAAACTCGCAAACCCACCACTAGGTTGGATCGAAATGCAATTTCTGCCAAAGGCCCATAACATTTGTCATTTAATAAGTTGGTGTATCATTATTTAGGGCGTGGCATAAATAGGCAAACTAAAAAAATCTGATTGACCATAACCTTTGTCATTTAATAAGTCCATGTATAATTATTATTTAAAAGGAAAACAATCTTG